AAAAAGAAATTAGATAACAGCACCTAAATTCAATATTTGTAAAGTAATTAACATTACTGTGTTAACTAAAAAACTGAGAATCTCCTTTAATTAGAAAAATTATTTGATCCTACACAAATCTGACTTCTATACTGATATAGAATAAAACAAAGCAACAAAGTCAAACCAAAAAATTGAAAACTATTGCATTCCTAGTATACTCATACAGATATCAAAGACACTAGAAATAAAAATAGATGAACTAGGTCGATACTCGAGGACCATTTGTTGAAAAAAGTCATTTTATTCAATGTGTCTATTATTAATAAAACAAAGATGTTGCTTCCAATAAAACACATTTAAAGAATATTCTGACACAGTAGAGGAACATTATACCAGTTTTAACCAAAGAGAAAAAAAAAGGACTTAACATTACTGTGTTAACTAATAAACTGAGAATCGACCTTAATTAGAAAAATAATTTGATCCTACACAAATCTGACTTCTATACTGATATAGAATAAAACAATGTACCAAAGTCAAACAAAAAAATTGAAAACTTTTTGCATTCGTGTTATACTCATCCAAATATCAAAGACACTAGAAATAAGGGAAGATGAACTGGGTCGATACTCGAGGACCATTTGTTGAAAAAAGTGATTTTTATTCAATGTGTCTATTGCCTTACAAATTAAAGTGAACAAACTTCCAAACTATGCAAGTATATGCATACAAACTAATCTAAAGACAGGCAAATAAAGATAAAGTCTTAACCTATTTGCTTATATGACCATATTGCTTTTAGTGATCTTTGATTGATGTGTTATTTTCTGCTTGATGCTCTTCAATTACTCCAGAGCTAGGATTATTTCATTCTAAAAAGAATAACAACAAAAAAAAAAGGTTAGAATTTGTGTTCAGAATATTTAATAACAAAACCAAGAGGAAAAGGATACACTGGCATAACAGAGAATTGAAGATTAGTATAATCAAATAATCAATGTGTGTGTTCAATGTTCTTACAACTTATCAAAAGAAATTGACAACAATGGAAGTAAAAACAGATGGACTTGGTCTATACTTGAGGACCATTTGTTGAAAAAAGTCTTTTTAATTCAAAGTGTCTATTGCCTTACAAAGTAAAGTGAACAAACTTACAAAATATGCAACTATAACAATACAAACTCATCTGAAGTAAGGCAAATCAAGATAGAGTCTTAACCTATTTGCTGATATGACCATAGTGCTTTTATTGGTCTTTGATTGAACGCTTATTTTCTGCTTGCTGCTCTTCAATTACTCCAAAGCTTGGATTATTTCATTCTAAAAAGAATAAGAAAAAAAATGGTTAGAATTTGTGTTCAGAATAAAGAATAACAACACCAAGAGGAAAAGGATACACTGGCATAACAGAGAATTGAATAGTTTTAGAAGCAAAGAATCAATGTGTGTGTTCCATGTTCTTACAACTTATCTAAAGAAATTGAATACAATGGAATTATTGTCCTGTGAAGTAAAAGTTAATCATTCTTAGGGAAAGAAACACATTACCTAAGCATTAAATATAATTGATGGCCAGCTATCATTACTATTAAGAGAAAACCCTTCAGTTCCAGTATTATTTTCAAAATCAAGGCAAAAGTTAAATACACTACAATGAACCCATCTAAAGAAAGATGCCCCATCTAACTCCCAACACAGTTCTCCAGTTTCAGACCTCAGCCAAATAGACAATTCACATCTACATTTTCAACTACACACAATAGACAGCACAATGAGGAAAATCACTAAGTCAACAATTATAGGCATCAAAAGGAAACCAAGTGAGGAAAATAAAGGTAATTTCGAAACTTATCTTTTTCATACTTGAAATGAAGCTGCATTGGAGCATCCCTCTTGCTATACGATTCTGTTTATGCTCTCCATCTCCTCAAATAATTACAGTATGTCCATAAAAAACAACATGATAAAGTCGATTAGAGGTTAGGGTTTGTGTGAATAATAATATAGCTATAGCATTTTGAACATGATATTTACACAGTTAACAGTAATCTCAATTGGGTGTTTTTAGAGCAACACTATAAAGAATACGATTTAGAACCCTAATTGCTATGAATCATACAAATATGAAATTAAGATATTTTATCTAGGATTGTCGATCTGCATGCTTACATCCAGAAAAATAGATCAAGTTTAGAATGGACAACAGTGATAAATAGGAAACCCTAAACAAATTGACTGCAAATTTAACGCATACTAACCTTATTAGTTGAAAATTAGCTTCACTGCATCGCGATTTCCACCATTGACTGTTATTGAACACTACGATCTTTCACAGAAATGAAAGATCGCGATTATGTACTGAGAATCGGGGCGATGCTCATCTAGACCCGAGTACAATTTCTGCGGAAACAATGTTCAATAAGAACAGTTGAATCCTAGAGAACGATTAAGGACTGATCTAGATTTAGGCTTGACAGAGAGAGATCGGAAGATCGTTTTGATAGGGTGAAAAACAGATCTGTTCAGACATGCGAAGGAGAAGGGTATTCACCCTTCTTCCTCATCTCAAATATATATATATATATATATATATATATATATATATATATATATATATATATATATATATTTATTTATTTATTTATATCTATAAACTATCTAAATCTATCTATCTATAAATAAATAAATAAATAGATAGATTTAGATAGTTTATAGATATAAATAAATAAATAAATAAATAAATAAATAAATAAATAAATATATATATATATATATATATATATATATATATATATATATATATATATATATATATATATATAGTCTTCATATTATTTAATTTTGAATTGTTATGTGTAATTAATTAGATATATTATTTTTCATTGGGCGGGTATTTATTGTGCACACAATTTTGTGGACCATGTTATACCTAATAATTTGTCCACTAAACTGTAATCTTTGTTTATAGCAATTACAATTTCAGGTTATAGGCTAGCATAATTAGATTATTCGTTAGGTGTGTTTAGTGTCACAACAACTACTTTCTTCATAAATGTTAGGAGAATCTTGAACAATTAGAAATTAATGGTGTAATGTTAACTATGTTATGTGTAATTCATTTTTATGATTTTTTATTATTTGAATTATTTTTTATTTTATAGAAATTAATGTTTTAATGTTAACTATGTTATGTTTTATATTACAGAAAATGAATTGGGCAACTCATCATCAAGGAATAATTCTGCTCAAGGAAAACAGCAACCTCCGGCAATAAATCGTTCCCGCATTCCTTTTGGAGGGTGTTTGTCTCAAAACATCACACCATTGAGTAACATTACTAACGGTAAATCCCCTAATTTGAATTGATATACCTTCATTGTGATTTTAAAAAACCTTATATTTTTAATTATGGAAAAAATGTCTGTAAAATTAAATTGTATAATTATAATGTAAGTAACGGACCATACCACTTTGCATGGAATACTTTACTATTACAATAATACTTTGATTGGTATTAATGATATATACTTTCTAATTAATGGTATTTATTGTTCACAAAATTTTGTGGACCATGGTCTACCTAATAATTGGTCCACTTATTAGGTAACCCTTATTTATAGCAATTACAATTTCAAATTATAGCCTAACGTAATTAATAGCGTTAGGTGTGATTAATTTATAAAATTTATACTGTTGTATTTACTGTTGTTATTATAGTCTTCTAATTTTTTATTTTACATCATAGCAAATTATTTTGGCAACTCATCATTAAGGACTAATGCTGGTCAAGGTAAAGAGCAACATACACCAACTAATCCTTCCAAAATTCCTTTGGGAGGTGGTTTGTCTCAAGATATCACACCATTCAGTAACATCAGTAACGGTAAATCCCCTAAGATTAATTGATATACATTCATTGTGAATTTAAATATCCTTATAGTTTTAATTGTTAAGCGATGTTTGTCAAATTAAATGTTATAATTATAATGTAATTTATGTTTAATATCAATTTCTAATTTTTCTTTACAATAGTTAAATTTCTTTTGTTATGTGTAATTAATTGATTAGATTGTACTTAATGATATATACTTTTTCATTCTAATTCTATTTAGGGTGTACAAATTTCTGTGGACCATGGTCAACGTAATTCTATTCAATTACATATTAATGTTGTGCAATTGAAAAAATATTTACGTTATGTGTAATGAATTGTTTCGAGTTATAATTATTGGAATTATTTCTTAATTTAATGTTATATTTTATATCACAACAAATTATTTCGGCAACTCATCTCTTACGAATAATGCTGCTCAAGCTAAAGACCAACGTACGACAACTAATCCTTCCAGAATTTCCCTTGGAGGATGTTTGTCTGAAAATATCACACCATTGAGTAACATCACTAACGGTAAATCCCCTAAGATGAATTGATATACATTCATTGTGAATTTAATTATAATGTAACTCATGGTCCATAGAACTCTGTGTGGAATTGTAATTTCACTAATTTGTCTTCATATGATTTACTTTTTAATATCAATTTCTAATTTTTCGTTACAATAGTTAAATTTCTTTAGTTATGTGTAATTAATTTGTTAGATGGTACTTATTGAAATATATTTTTTCATTATAATTTTATTTAGGGTGCACAGATTTTTGTGGACCATGGTCTACCTAATAATTTTTCCACTAAAATATAATACTTATACAGTGAAATTACTATTTCATATTCTAGGCTAGCATAAGTAATAATGTTAGTTGTACAAAATTTATAATATTAAGACTTCTATAATTTATTTTGTTATTATGTGCTACCAACTATTTTTTTAATAGTCCCCTAAAATGTAGGGTTTAAATTAATTGTGACTTTAAATATTGTTATACTTTAAATTTGTCTAATATTACGTATGTGTACAATACATTCGTCCAATACACAAATAGGTGCAAGCAATTGCCAGCCATTTGTTTTTGGAGATAAACAAAATCCTGCATCGACGATAACACAAGATGAATTTGCAATGCGTAAACCATTACATAAATATGCAATTGTCGAAGACCATGTAACAACAAGAGACTTGCTATCTGCCTTTGAAGATGAATGTAACCCTACAATGATCGACGCCCCAAATCAGTACATAGCAGGTAATAAGATACTCTCCTGATTTTTGAAACAACTATAAGTAAAGTACATATGCAAACCTTCAACTTTTAAAATATATTTTTAAATGTATTTTTAATTTCAGGTGCGGATATATCGAGTAACGATGTTAGGCAGACCTCGGATATTGGGACATCCTCTGGTCCACAACATGGTATGTATATTTGTTTTATAACTGCATAAAATATCAATCAGTATTTCATTTTGTATATATTTGGTTTTAGGTCAATACTGTGATTTTGGTGATGCAACAAATAAATGCGTCCATTGTGGGGCTTTGTTTTGGTTTGAAGAAAGGAAGAAGAATTTGTCAACAAACGCATCGCCACTGTTTATGTTGTGTTGCAACAATGGGAAGATCAAGTTGCCGGAGAATAAGTTGCCACCAAAAGGTATATTTGATCTCTTTTTCGGCAATGACGAATTATCAAAAGAATTTTAACACAACATTAGGACCTACAACAACATGTTCTGCTTCACATCCATGGGAGGAAAAATTGACAAGAACGTGAACAAGGGGGGCGCACCGCCAATTTTTCGATTAAGTGGTCAAAACTATCACCTAATGGGCACTCTACTTCCAGAACAAGGCAAAGAACCTCATTTTGCCCAGTTATACATATACGACACGGCAAATGAAAAGATCAACCGTATAAATGCTGTGAGGTAAACATGTTTGCGTAATTACACATTAAATACTATTTTTATCTAAATAAATATCAATGCCAAGTTTATGTTGTTGTAGGGGTAGTGGTGAGCAAGATGACATTCATGTAGAAATAGTGAATGTCATTCAGAAAGACCTCGATGAAAATAATGTTTTGGTTAAGTCTTTTAGGATGGCTATGTCTGAGCTGGATATTAATCCATGCGCCGAAGTCAAAATAAAGTTGTTGGGAAAACGAACTAGAGATGCGAGGACATATAATCTCTCGCAAGTTTCTGAAGTAGCAGCTTTAATTGTGGGAGATCTGGATACCAGTATTGGAGAGCGTGATATTATTGTTCAATCGAAGGGTGGCCACCTACAGAGGATAAGTGAATTAAATCCTTCATACTTACCACTGCAATACCCTATTTTGTTTCCATATGGCGAAGACGGTTATCGGGAAGACATTGCATTTGCGAACGTAGTAGGCAAGCGCTCTTCAGGTGGTAGACAGAGGATTAGTCCCAGGGAGTCTTTTTGCTACCGCATACAGTCTAGACAGTCAGCTCCGAGTACCATATTATTTGCAAAGCGGTTGTTCCAACAGTTTGTTGTAGATGGCTACACAATGGTTGAGTCTGGAAGACTAATTTTTATAAGGACACACCAAAAAAGCCTAAGGTGTGAGAGTTATAGTGGATTGACTGATGCTTTGACAAGGGGTGAAATAAGCCCGGCACCCCAAGGTCGCAGAATAATACTACCTTCAAGTTTTACGGGTGGTGCTAGATACATGATACAAAACTACCAAGATGCAATGGCAATATGTAGATGGATTGGATACCCAGATTTATTTATAACCTTTACATGCAATCCGAAGTGGCCTGAGGTGCAACGCTTTTTAAAAGATCAAAGGTTGAAGCCAAAAGATCGGCCGGACATAATTTGCCGATTATTCAAGATTAAGTTGGATGCTTTGATAGCTGATTGTCGAAAGAATAAACTATTTGGCCCTGTGGCTGGAGGTAATATTTTTTATTTTATTTTAAATCAATTTTGTTACAATTTTATGTAATTACTTAACCTTATGATGTTTATGTCTATGTTGTTGCAGTCATATATACAATTGAGTTTCAAAAGCGAGGTCTTTCGCATGCTCATATATTACTTTTTTTTGAGAAAAGTAAAGAAGTTAGGCAAGTTCTTACTCTAGACAACATAATTTGCGCAGAGATTCCAGATGAAAAGAAAGATGCAGAGTATTACCAAGCGGTAGAGGAATTTATGATGCATGGTCCATGTGGAAAAGCGAGGACCAATTCTCCATGTATGGTAAATGCGCGATGCTCTAAACATTTTCCTAAGAGATTTGTTGAGAGTTCTACATTTGATGAAGATGGTTACCCGGTATATAGAAGGAGAGACAATGGCAGTGTAGTTACAAAGAACGGGATCGCCTTGGACAACAGGTATGTGGTACCGCACAATAGATATTTATTGCTCAAGTACAAGGCTCATATAAATGTCGAGTGGTGCAACCAGTCACGGTCAATCAAGTACATGTTCAAGTATGTTAACAAGGGTCATGATCGGGTAACCGCCGAATTTTACAAAACAGGCAATGATGACGAGAATGGCAAAGCAATAGATGAGATAAATATGTACTATGACTGTAGGTACATATCCCCGTATGAAGCGGTTTGGTGTCTGTTTGGTTTTGATATACAACTTCGGGCGCCTTCAGTGGAAAGGTTAAGCTTTCACCTTCCTAATCAACAGAGTGTGATATTTGCAGATGATGATGCTGTTGAGAACATTGTGAATAGACCTACGATAGCACAGAGCATGTTTTTGGAATGGTTTGAAGCAAATAAAACATACCCCGATGCGAGAGAACTTACTTATGTTGAGATGCCAACACGATTCGTTTGGAAGAAAGACCTTAGAAAATGGCAGCCACGAAAGAAAGGGTTCTCAATAGGACGTATATTCTATGTCCCGCCAGCTACTGGTGAAATTTTCTATTTGAGGTGTTTGCTGAACAAAATCCGTGGCTCTAAAAGTTATGAAGATATTAGGACTGTAAATGGGGTGCAATATGACTCATTCCGAGTTGCATGTTATGCAAGGGGTTTAGTTGATGATGATAAAGAATATGTTGATGCAATAGATGAAGCCAGTCATTGGGCGTCAGCAGATCAATTGAGGAGATTGTTTGTGACATTGCTAATGAGCAGTTGCATGGGGAAACCGAAAATAGTTTGGCATGCTGTGTGGCAACATCTATCAGACGATGCACAATTCAACGTCCGTAAACAACTGCAGAACAGAGGTAATCGTACATTTTAAAAAATATATTAAGTCAAGTTTAACGTAGTTGTGTTATAACACCAAATTTTAATATATATTTATGCAGATTTTGTGTTGACCGATTCGCACAAAATGAACTTTGCTTTAGTAGAGATTGAGAAGCTATTATCTAATCATGGTAAGAGTTTGAAGGACTATCCTGAAATGCCAACGGCAAATTTTGGTGCCTTAAACGTTATTGCAAATAGGTTTGTTCAAGAAGAATTAGCATACAATTGTGGCGAACAGGAGAAAGAGAATCAAGATTTGGTAAGGCAGTTAACAGACGAATAAAAGGCAATATACAATGAAGTGTTAACTGACGTTGATCGCCAGGAAGGGGGGTTATTTTTCGTTTATGGTTATGGAGGGACCGGTAAGACTTTCTTGTGGCGAGCACTTTCTTCCGCATTAAGGTCTAAGAGTCAGATAGTGTTAAATGTTGCTTCTAGCGGCATAGCTTCGCTTTTATTACCTGGTGGGAGGACGGCGCATTCTCGGTTTGCTATACCGATAGCTGTTAATGAAGATTCCACATGCAACATACGTACCGGCAGTGAACTGGCAGAACTGCTTGTGCAAACCAAGTTGATAATTTGGGATGAAGCCCCAATGATGCATAAATTTTGCTTTGAAGCTCTTGACCGAACTATGCGGGATTTGATGCGCTTCATAAATCCAAGGAGTTCTGATATGGCATTTGGTGGTAAAACAGTTGTTTTGGGGGGCGATTTCAGGCAAATTATTGGGTGTCAAATTGATGGGGAGTCCGAGATTACTGTTCCAGAAGATTTGTTGTTGAAGTGCGTAGATGACCCTATTGCTACAATTGTTGATAGCACTTTCCTTAATTTCCGACTGGGAATTGCCGATTTGTCATATCTTAATCATAGTGCAATTTTAGCTCCAACATTGGATGTGGTAGATGCCGTTAACCAATACATGAATGATCATAATCCGGCTGAGGGTAAGACATACTTGAGTTGTGATTTTGTGTGTAAGTCAGATGCAAATGTTGACATGTTAGCGGATTTGCACACTCCCGAATTCTTGAATGCCTTGAGATGTTCTGGAGTACCAAATCATGCTTTGACATTGAAAGTTGGATCACCTGTTATGTTATTGCGAAATATTGATCACACACTAGGATTATGCAACGGTACAAGGTTGATTGTTACAAGGTTGGCTGACCATGTGTTGGAAGGCCAAATCATGTGCGGTACAAATACAGGAACCAGAGTATTGATTCCTAGAATGTCACTTACACCGTCAGATCCAAGATTGCCTTTCAAATTTCAACGAAAGCAATTTCCTTTGATGCTATCCTATGCCATGACAATCAACAAAAGTCAAGGACAAACGCTTGCTAAAGTTGGGTTGTTGTTGAAAAAACTTGTCTTTAACCATGGACAACTATACGTAGCTGTTTCAAGAGTTAGTAACCCCAGCGGTTTGAAAATTTTGATTTGCGGGGAAAGTGTACCATGTCTTAGTACGACTAAAAATGTTGTGTACAAAGAAGTCTTCAATAATGTATAATAACATTACAGAATTTATTATTTAAAATTTAGTATTTTTTTAAATACTAGGTTTCTTATTATTATTATATTATACGTAATATTCTATGTACTATATAGGTAGCCATGCATCACATTATTTCAACAATGAAGTCTTCAACAATGTATAATAAAATTACTATATTCATCAATGTGTAATAAAATCACAAGTTTTCATTTCACATTTTGTAAGGTTCAAATAACTATATTCTATACTGTATATATATCATACTATATATATAGCCGCGCATCGCGCGGGTGCACCTACTAGTTGTTTTAGTACCAATTTTCATCCACAGCTATTATTTTAGTGCAAAAATACATCACACCGGTCACCCTTCCGTTTAAGATATGCCGAAAAATGAAATTATTAAGGGTATTTTTGTCCTTTTCAAATTAAGGTCCCAATTTGAGCATGAATAAAGGGACTTAAGCGCTAAAATCGGTCTCAATTCACAATTTTCCTACTCAAATTAAGGTAAGATGAGGATGAGAACTGCGAATTATGATCGATCTTAAAGGTTAAATCTCATTATGCATGCTCAAATTGGGATCTTAGGTTGAAAAGGACAAAAATACACTTAAAATTTTAAGATTTCGGAATGTCTTAAACGAATGAATTATCGACATGCTGAATTTTGACACTAAAACAATAGTTGTGGATGAAAATCGGTACTAAAACAATAGTCGTTGATGAAAATTGGTATGAATTAAACATGTGTATCAAAATTGTCATTTTGTTAATACTCATCATGGGACCAAAATTGGTATTTGCTCATACAAAATCACTAAACTAATCAAATTCGTTAAAAGTTGTTAAATTCATCATTTATCGAACTTAACACTTTTATTATTATATTATATACTAATAACTCATCACACATAATTAATTGATTGACTACATACCTTCAAATTAAAGCACATGGTCTCCATGACTGCATTTCAAGCAAGAGATCAATGGCTTCTGATATGACAAGCAATCAGTATTCATGCATATGGAATTATGGATGATGGAATAATTATATATTGGCCTAATCACTAGTATAGGGTTGATTTGCCTAAATCATTGAATTTGTGGATTTGTAATAGTGAAGCAATATAATATACTGTTATGTTTTGACAATTGTATGCCGTTGCCAAACGCCTCCTAATTCAATGAATCTTCTATTAAACTGTTGGCCAAGAGCCCAACTAAAAATGATAGATGCATATATATATGGTTCAAAACTCTATTTCCAACAGATAAATTACATATATGGTCCATTATTATATATTATATTAATTCAAACAAATTCAATTCCAGCCTACAAATACTTGGGATATTAACATATATACGGAACATGAAATCAAAATATTAATTACATGCATTTCTCAACTGTTACAAAATTGGTCTAAATTAAAATCATAGGGCGAGTAGTTTGGTCCCTTAATTATTTATGGTGTTGAAAAGTGATTCTTTAATTATAAGGTGAACACGTGTTTTTGGTTCGAATATGGGAATCGGAATTGAAATATATGGCTTAGGAATCAAATATTTGGTAATTAGAATGAGTTTTGGTCAATGTACTTTGCACGCATGTTTAGCAATATTGATGTTTGGTTACGTATGAATCTATAATCGGAATAATAATTTTTAAAATACAAAAACAAAAAGTCAAGACAATTGATCTTAAGAGTGACGAAGAAGTGAGTAGGCCAGCAATATAATGTAGTGAGGAAGTCGATGAAATGAGGAGGGATAAGACTGAATTAATTAAACTACACACGAGTCTTCCAACTCAAAAAACTGTAATTGGGTTATTGAACAACGCAAATAATGCAATTAATGAAGTGACTTGCATACCCATTGATTATTGATGTGGCATGCAGTTCCCACCAGAACTATATTTAGAACCCTATAATTACTAAACTAACTGTCCAACCAACTTAGATAAGCGCTTATTACATCTAACTTGTTAAATTCTTGGAATTGTAGTCCATTTAAATTTCTGAACTAAACATCTATTTACGCTTGCCGTACTTATAAGTTATAACATTCTCCATTCCAGGATCTGACCATATGCCTATATATAATTTAATTTCTTGGTTATTATATTGTATCGGCTCATGATACTATACGATGATAGGCACATTATATTCTTCTCCTATTGATACTGCCCAGATTCTTTGCAGTTACAATGGAAACCCAGACTGAGATCATGTGAGAAGTTGACTACAGTTTTCCGTTGTTATATGTTAATGCATAATACTATATATATTCCCACATTCATATATGCACGTCGCAGCTAGCTTGTTTTCTAATCACATGGCTTATCCGATCCAAATCATATGAATCCAATAATTGAGTCTTTAATTTTACTCTGCTTTAATTAATGCCTCTATCCTAATGATGAGATGATAGCAACTACTCCGTAATAACATGAAATATTTCGAGGCCACCGCCCACCTAGAAGTGCATACTAGGTGGGCTAGCTAATTCAGGTTCAAAGCTTAAACTGAAAAGGTCAATTATTATATTGATGACAGTTTTCTTTTTCATGAAGATGCAAATTTAGAATGTGTAATTATCAAATTAACTGTACTTGTCAGTATTATTTTATCTCTTATGTATAAAAATGGTGCATGAAGCCATTGTTACATGTAGAACATGCAATAAGTGAAATCTTTTGAGTAGATTTATAGCTCCGAGTCTGTATTGGAGTCACAGACAAAAGAACAAGATGAAAGAAAATAAAACTTCTTATTATGTGGTGCTATTAACCATACAAAGAGGTTCTTTATTTAAATACTATTTATCCTAACGGTTCCTTCCCTAATGTTAGCTTTAGAATATGGTAAATAGACATGAAGAAAGTAATAATTGATCTTGGTTCCATACTTTCTTTATGTTGCGAGTTGAGCGTCCAATGGCGTCAGCTGCCCCCACTCCCCCACCTAATCCCATTTATAGTTATTGTATATGTATAGGTTTCTTGTATATATATAGTTTTATTATTATAGTTATTGTATATGTATAGGTTTCTTGTATATATATAGTTTTATTATTATTATAAGGAAGGGGGGGTATTGTATATGTATAGGTTTCTTGTATATATATAGTTTTATTATTATTATTATTATTATTATTATTATTATAAGGAAGGGGGATACCCTACATATACACACTACTTGCCTCAAGTGAGGTTTGAACCTATCACCTCCCACATAAGGGAGTAACTGGGTAAATACTAAATTTACATAAAGGATGAGTTAGTTTAGATGGTAAGATATCTAGTTTTTTTCCTAAATGTTTGGGGTTCAAATCCTATAGCTTGAATTTATAGTGAGATTAATTCTAATTGAATTTTTTATTTGAAACATTGTGTTTTTTTAATATTAATAATGATTTTCGTGATTTATAATATGTTTTTTATTCGAACTATTTTATGTAATTAATTATATTTCATATTTTGGGAAATTTTTATTGGTAACATTGTGTTTTTTTCTCTTTTTTTAAATATTAATTAATTAATATTGATATGAGTGTTTTATTATAATATGTTTTCTATTCAAATTATTTTATTTAATTAATTATATTTCATATTTTTTGAATATTTTTTTAATCTCATTTTGATGTATTTTAATTTTTCATCTTAATTAACAATATTTATGATTTGGTCACTAAGTATTTTTTTTTTCAAAATCAAAATATCTCATTGGTTTTTAATCTTTTCTCCCACTGATCAAGATTTCTGGATCCACCCCGCCTCTCAGCTGGATCCATTCTGTTGGTAATATTCTTGTTGATTTTGCATATCTCCATTAATTGATGGTCATTACTCCTTGATCCTTGATCTGCCATCGTAACATACAGCCATGCACTCAACTTAGAAGTCTATATATATGTATAGTACCATCACAAAATTAAATCAATAGATTTCTAGTCTACATACATGTGATAATTGTATATCGAGCGAATCAGTGAAGATGGTGAAAAGTTGGAGTTTTGTTCTTGCTCTTCCATATTTCATCATCATCATCTTCTTGTTTCACCATTCATCAGCTGCCAAGATCACATATAATGTGCAGAAGTTTGGAGCCAAACCAGATGGGAAGTCAGACTCAACAAAAGCCTTTCTCAATGCATGGGCTGCAGCTTGTGCGAATGCTTCAACAAAACCTGTCATAATACTTGTGCCCCAAGGAAGGTATCTGCTTGGAACTGCTTCGTTTTGGGGCCAATCTTGCAAGGCTAAAGCCATCAGAATCCAGATTTATGGCACCCTACTGGCTCCCTCAGATTATCGGGTTATCGGCTTCACTGGAAACTGGCTCAAGTTTGAAAGAGTTTCGGGTCTCACCATCGCCGGTGGAACATTGGATGGTCAAGGTGCTGCTCTATGGGCTTGTAAAACTTCCGGCAAGACTAGTTGCCCCTCCGGTGCCACGGTAAAGTTAACCATTCGTTTTAGTTAAAACGAAACATATACATCTTTCGATTTGATATCAGATTATATATATAGTAATTGATTGAAGTGGTATATATGCATGTGGTGAAACATATGCAGACAATAGCGTTTTACAATTCAAACAACATAGTTGTGAGTGGAATGAGTTCATTAAACAGCCAGATGTTCCATGTGGTTGTTGATGGGTGTCACAATGTGAGACTACAAAAGATGAAGGTGTCAGCCTCCGGCAGCAGCCCTAACACCGACGGCATACACATCCAAGATTCCTCCGGCGTCACCATACTCAATACTAGAATTGGCACCGGCGATGATTGTGTTTCAATAGGCCCCGGCACCTCCAACTTGTGGATTGAAAACGTTTCTTGCGGCCCTGGCCACGGAATAAGGTATATATATATATACATTTTAGTTATATATGTTCTTTATTCTTGTTTTATTTTGCCCTTTTTTTTTAAAAAAAAAAAAAAAAAAAAAAAAAAGAGAAACTCACAGTCACAATTGGAGCAGGATAAGTCTCGTCCTGTGATCTTAATCTGCAAAGGACTACAATGAAATCAAACCAGTCTAGATTGTCCATAACTGACTTACTTAAGTATGATCCTAACAAATATTTTGTGGGTATTTTTGGGCAGCATTGGAAGCCTAGGGTGGAATGCAGAAGAGGCAGGAGTCCAAAATGTGACAGTAAAAAGCACAACGTTTAGGGGAACTGAGAATGGTGTAAGGATCAAGACATGGGCAAGGCCTAGCAATGCATTTGTAAAGGGTGTGGTTTTCCAGCACTCTGTCATGGTTAACGTGCAATTTCCCATAATAATTGACCAACAATACTGCCCCGACAAAAATAACTGTCCCACCCAAGTAAGTATTTAATTTTGATCTGAGTACCATCTATCCATAAATTTTAATTTATTAATGTTATTAATTATACATATATATACTTGTAGGTATCTGGGGTGAAGATAAGTGGGGTGACATATGAAGACATCCACGGATCATCTGCGACACCAGTAGGGGTTAAGCTTGATTGTAGCAAGGCATTTCCATGCAGTGGAATAAAGCTAGATGATGTAAACCTGAGTTACAGAAATCAACCAGCTCAAGCCTTGTGCAACAATGCAGCTGGAAGTTCGTCGGGCATAAATCGCCCCGCCGGTTGCCTCTAGTAGTAATGCAACCGTATGTATATACTAGCTTGTTTTTATGGTAAAGCCGGGATTACAAGACTGGTTTCACCCATGTCAGAACGTACAAATCAAAGCTTGTTGTATTGTAGAATGTGTAGTACTGATAGCTTTAGATTAGAAGCAGTCTTCAATCTTCATGCATTTAGTTATTGTGCCCCCAACACCCAAAATCATTATTTCTTGTGTGAACGTTGGCATCTATTTTCTCTAGTTTAACTGGTCGAGTTGGTTGACCGACAGTTAGAGTCTACAAGGGTGTTCCCAACTGAAAGTCAAAGGTGGCTTGTCTTATTGTCTTGTTCTTTTTATAAGCAATATTAGACATATTCTCACTTTTTACTTTATTCTCTATTCCGTATTAACGTGACATTCTTTGATTCATCCATACAAAAAGTGGGTCAAAGTTTTAATTCACAGCCCATCCAGCCTCCAAAACTATCTTCTAATCGATTCCTGGCCAAATTTTGCAAATAATGAAGGACTTTGCGGAGCTCCATTGCCGGATTGCCCATCCAGTACATGTCATGGAAGATCATTTGTTCCTCACTGGGTTTGTCACAGGTTGGGCCATCTTTGTGTTGCTCACTTTATTTATTTGCCTCTTTGGAATTCCCTATGCAGCAGCAGCTATAGGAAAGAAGGTAAGTATATGTCCTGAGCAAGAGGATATTGGGAACCAAGACATGGTATGAATTAATTGTTCCAATGGCTTACACTCTCCATCTCAACTAAAAGTCTAAACTGATAGTTGGATTGCACATTTATGTTTATATATTATATGCCCAGCATACACAACACAGGGCAAAAGCCAACAACAATGCTTCCAAAGATGTGTATTGCTTTGGAATTGTGCTTCTTCAGCTCATTACCACAAAGGAAGCCTATGAATTGAGCTGCTCTACTGATATCATTTTTGGTAGCACTAGCTACACAACTAATCCACTCCAGATAGATCAAGTGATCACACATACAGGATTTGATGATACCATCTCACAGTTTCTTGAAATAGCCAAGAATTGTGTGAAATTCATGCCTAATCAAAGGCCAACAATGCTTCAAGTCTATGAATCACTCTCATCACAGCCATGGGTGACCGACAATGCTTCTGCAATTTCAATGGATTATTGCACTTAAGATTGTGTTAGAATTTAGTTACATAACTCTTTTTTATGAGATTATACTAAAGATGGTATATATGTGCTTTCAATGACACGTTTGTACTTGTTAGTTAGTAATGTAATTAGTGTGTACATTATTTTATACTATATAGTTGTATTTCTAGTGGTTGAGGTTTAGTCTAATTCTCTTGCCTACAGGAAGGAGCTAGAATATTATGTAGACTCTATTATAGGATAGACTCTCTCTCTGTAACTCAATTGATTGAATCAGATTATTGTTATCTCATCTGGTATCAGTTGCGATAGGTTAGCCCATTCTTGTTCAATCTATCCCGACAATTGAGATGTCGACTAACTCCTCAGAATGAACAGTCACCACCGTCCCTGCCGGTGCTCCGCCGTCGATCAACACCCTCACGGCGGCGCATAACTTTGTGTCTACTCGACTCACCATGCGGAACTACCTATTCTGGCGCACCCAGGTCATTCCGTTCTTGCGTGGGTAGAGACTACTCGGATTCATAGATGGCTCCAGGCCATGTCCGGCCGCCACCGTTGTTGTCCTCCGGAATCCGGCGACTCCACCGTGACGGCGACCACCACTGCACCGAACCCAGCCTACGAAGTGTGGATCCAACAGGATCAAGCTATCCTGTCCACGATCATCTCGTCGCTCTCCGACGAGGTGATGCATCTTGCCGTCGGACGAGAGACCTCCGGGGAGGTGTGGGATTCCCTCGCGTCCATGCTGGCTTCCACGACAAGAGCGAGATGCTTGAGTCTACTGGGGCAATTCCAGACCCTCCGACAAGGACCAAGCTCGCCGACCGAGTATCTTGGACGGTGCAAGATGATCGCAGAGGCCCTTTCGCTTGCCGGCGGGCCACTCTCTAATGAAAAACAAATCATGTACGTTCTTCGCGGCCTGCGACCGGAGTTCAGGACCATCGCGAATTCCCTCACTGCCACCGGAGCTCCGGTGACCTTGACGCAGCTCTCCGACTTTCTCCAAGCCCAGGAGTTCATCCATGAGGATGACTTTGCAGTGGGGGACTCTTGTGGAGGAAGCAGTGCACCAGCCGCGTTCTTCGCTGGACGCGGGAGACATGGCGGCGATCAGCAGCAATCCAGCCGCGGCGGTCGTGGACGGCAAAACCGCGGCAGAGGCGGTCCGAATTCTGGTCGGCAGGGTCGCGGAGGTGGTCCCCGATGCCAAATATGCAGGTCTCATGGTCACACCGTGTTGGTCCCGATAGGGTGGTAAAAAGTCTAGAGGGGGGGGGGGGGGGGGTGAATAGACTTTTTAAACTTTTTAACAATTAATAACACTTTGGTAATTTCAACTCTAAGTAACAAGATATGAAACTTAGATGCGCAGCGGAATAATTTAAACAACCAAGTGTTACGTAAAATCAAAGAGATATATCACATGCAATATGATGGATATGCTTGGTATGACTCAAATCATAAGTATGCAAATTTATGCCCACATGCAAACGTAAAAGCTACTAGACCCAGATGAATATTTTCGCACAATATAAGATGGGTCAGTCAAATATTCAACATGCAAGACAACAAAATATTTAAAGAGATGGTTCACTCAATATGTGTGTGATATCACGTGTGAATCAATGAATGAATCCAAATGGAATAGTGTCTGCATGCACTTGTAAAGTTACATAACCCAAACAATGAGATAGATAAATATGACGAATAGTAAATGTGTTAGTATGCATGCAATAATAAATAAAGGCAGTAAGTAAATGAGAGAGGCAATTTATAGTGGTTCAGAGGTGGTGTAATCCTCCTAGTCCACTCTTCTCCTTTCACTCCAAGGAGGAAATTCACTATCTTGTTCACCCAGATACAAATAGTGAATCAAGTGCACACAGGCACTTCCCGAGTGTTTTGCACACAGCTACACTCAATCCCGAGTATCTCGCACAAAGCTATACTCCCGAGTATCTCGCACAAAGCTATACTCCTACACCAACTAAGTGTTTTGCACCCAGCTACACTTAGCACCACCGAGCGTCTCGCACACAGCTACACTCAGCAACCACGAGTGTCTCGCACAAAGCTACACTCAACAGGGTAGTGTCTTGCACAAAGCTACACTCAACCCTCTTTCTACACACAGTAGAGGTAAGATTTAGAGAAAACAAATTTCTCTTCTAATGACTTGAAGAATATCTCTCGTGTAAGCTCAGACTAGATATTTCAAATTTTTGCTTATATTTGCTTCTTTGTATTGCCTTGCCTTCTCTACTTCATGTCTTCAAGTCTTCTGGTATATATAGCTGAAGAAGCTATATTACCGTTGTAGCATTAGTTGATCTTGATCGTTCATCTTGATCAGCTACACATTATTTCCAACTTGCATTGCGGTGATTTAATGCAAGAGATGGGCTTTTTACAGTGAGTTTGAAAATCCTCACCTGAAAAATCTTCAAAAGTCGTATATGTCGGCTCATCAGCTGAATCTTCTCCGAAAAATAATTTTCTTATCTTGACGGATTCAAAATGTTGAAATCTTCCAAAAGATTTTCTGCTGATTCTTGCTTGAGTAAAAATTATATCTTCGTCCATTTCTTCTTCTGAAATGATTTGAGATATGTAGCAAGAGATTTAAATGAGAAAGAAGATGTGTAGAAGAATTCACGTGCATCTTCCTTATCATGTCCACAAGCTTCCAAACTTGTAGTCATCTTTAAAAAAAAGATGACTTAATTCATAAATTAATTCGAGTCTACCTCTTGGTCGTCCCCTATCAGCCCCTTGGTCGTCCCCTTGACCTCTGACTTCAGCAACCTTGTTCCTTATCCACTTCACCGCTTCATCCTTTAGTGTCTTTTACGGTAAATAATTCTCAAATAGTAACATTCTGGATAAGTATATTTTGCTAAGAATTCGTAGACTTTATGGCTTGACTTGGGACTTAGACTAATAGACAACTTAGACTCAAAATAAAATAGGGGGGTTCTAAAATTACAAATTTGGCTCATCAAAACTATTACATTTTATTCCTAATACACCGCCATCTATTGCTTTAAGCGCTACTCCGATCGACCGGCCGGCCACGCCAACGTGGCGGTTTCCGGCGAACCACTAGTCCATGGAGCAGCGGATGCATGGTATCCAGACACCAGTTCTTCATCGCATGCAACCCCATACGAACAAATGCTAAGTCACTCCGAGGCATACAACGGCAGTGATGTTCTCAAAATTGGCAACGGTACAGGTTTGGACGTTTCTCGTGTTGGACATACGGTTATCCCGTCTAAATCTAAATCTTTGTCAATGTCAAATATTCTTTGTGTTCTTAATTTAACATTACCGTTGTTATCTGTATATCGTTTCACTAATGAAAACGATGTTTATTTTGAGTTTCACAAAAATCTGTTTCTTGTGAAGGATTGCAAAACTCAAGTGGTTCTTCTTAAAGGGTCTACCTCGGGAGGGCTATACAAATTATTGGTTCCCCAGTTGCCATGTGCTTTCTTATCCGCGCGTGCATCCTCCGAAGTATGGCACCAACGCCTCAGTCATCCTCACAATCAAGCCTTACAAAGAGTCCTGAAACACTGCCCGATAGTCAATAATAAAACTAGTTCGTCAAAAGTTTGTACCGCGTGTCAACTAGGAAAATCCTCACGATTTCCTTTATATAGAGTTTTCAGCACTAGTAATAATGTATTGGATTTATTGTACACAGACATCTAGGGTCCGTCTCCTGTGATTAGTGCTTCGGGTTACCGCTATTTTGTACTGTTTGTGGACGATCACTCTCGTTATTGCTGGTTTTATCCGTTAAGGTTAAAATCAGATATATATAAAATTTTTGATGTGTTCCGGGCGATGGTAGAACGTCAGTTTTCCCGTTCTATCGTCGCCATCCAGTCTGAT